AAGGCCCGTATCTTTTGACAATAATATAATCCTAAGGATTTTAATATTCTCAGGTCCAATTGTTAATGTCGATTATTTTACCTCAAACTTTCCAATAGTCGTTAAGGCCTTACCTTCTGAGAAATGCATACGACTGTCCGATGATTTTAAGTGGGGGATATACCTTCTTCTTCTGTTTTCTTGGATAGTTGGAAAAATTTTTAGGGAACCAACTTACTTCTCGGTGGGCTCTTGTTGAGTGAAGTGATATCTCGTGATGCACTTTGCTCACGATATTTCTTATCTTATCGTCATTGTGAATTATTTTCTAAGTGTGTGTACACTTCAGATTTGAGTTTTCTTTCATTAGACTATATTAAATTATATATAGTTCTACACTACCTTTAATGGTTATTAAATTCAGTGTTTAGTACCAGAAAAGTATTAAATTCAGTGAATTAAGCTGCCTTCGTCAAGATCTACTCTAAGTAATCTTTATCTACAATTATCTGGGCGAGTAATATGGTATGGTACCATATCACCTGCCATTATCTGGACGTATCATCTATATCTTCATCTGTAGATTGCCGATTTTTGAATGTAATTGAACCATTCAAGAAATTTCTATAAATATTACCTATGAACATACAAGTCTCAGTTTTTTATTAAATAATAGTGCGAGATAGTTAATTGACTTAACCAAGTGCGGTTTGGTTTATGTTTTCATTCCTGTAACCTTTTTGTTTTTTTTTTTTTTGTAAATTTAGAGTTAAGTAATTTTTGCTATCTTTTGTATTTCATATAATTTTTGTTCATTATCTTTCCTATGATATCTCGAAATACGCCAAACTATATTTGTATATGATTGCCTTATATATCTTGGTAAAGGTATTTTTTTATTACATTATTGCTTAATTTTATACATATATAACACCATTTCATAGTTGTGTATTTTTATTACCTTGGTTGCATTTAGCAGCATCATAATTTTGTGTTTAATATATTGTTATTGTTTTATGCATGTATTTTATTTGTCGGCTCCTAACAAGTTCCCTGATAAAATAATAGCTCTGAACAATTACTATCTTTAAATATTACTATGCTTTTGAACTGTAGAAAGATCAGGCTGATTAAGTTTCATAGGTAAGTAAGTGTAATACTTAATATATTTATTATTTGTTTATATATTGCGTTGTTCTGAAGCTATTTTCTTGTGGCATTGTAAATTAATTACTATTTATAACTGGGAATAAGCCACAATTAAAGATAAAAATACGTTTAAGTGTAAAAACGTATTTTTATCTTTAATTGTGGCTTATTCCCAGTTATAAATAGTAATTAATATATTGCGTTGACCAGATTTATTTGATAATTTACTGTTGGTATCTTTCCTTGGGTTTGATCTCTGAACCTAAATATCTTTTCTTATCTCTTTTCTTTTCTAAGGTTTTCTTAATTTTCTCCTTAACCCCAAAAAATTGAGTGGCGCCCTGTTTCTATCTTCTCTTATCTTTGGTAATTTTACCCATCTATCTTTTTGTATATTTCTGTAACTTTTCTAATATCTCTTATCCTATCTTTACCTATTTCTTCCGTTGGATCCATTCCCGGTTCCAAAAGCTAGTTTCGAACCCACGACTCGCTCTCCACCAACCATCTGGCTATCGTCTGCAGTGTCTCCATTGGTTATCTTTCTAGCACCACCCAAAAAAGATTTCCGAGGTTACATTACTATGACTACAACATTTTTAAAATAATTTTTTGCTAAGATAATACATGCCCTTAATTTTTTTATGATAGTTGGTATTTACTTCGGTTGTTTTTGTTACAGGTAAGGGATATGGAAGAAAAAATAATTGAATATACATATAATGAATCCGAGGATATGATTCATGTTAAACCAGTGTTTCCGTCATGTAATCCTGATAAAGTCTTTAATTTTGATACTTATGATACAACCAGTTCTAATATACACTACTTTAGACAACGGACTGCCTAATGTTGATATATCTCGTAGTGAACATAATTTAAACGAGAGCGGTGATCCAAACTGGGGAAATAATCCTTAAAATTTTAATTCGTCCGATAATGAAAACGAAAATTCAGCTCAATATCCACCATCAAAAAATGATGATAGTTGTACTCAACAAAATGTAATCACTGACTTAACAAGTACATCAGCAGAAAAAAACAAATAAAGAGGCAAATGATGTTCTGAAGAAAAAGTCACGTAGGAGTGGAAGTTTTTAATTGAGGTAAATCTGATGTGAATTCATCAAATGAGCTAGTTAACAAGAAAACTTGTAAAGCATCATGTGGGAGCAGATGCCGTTTAAACTGTACCTCTAACATTACAATCAAGACAGGAAAACATTTTTAACAGTTTTTATTGTTAAAATGATATTACCAGAAAAAGAGATTTTATTGTAAATAGTATCAGCCAAATCACATCAAAATACGAATATAAAAAGGAAAGAAGTATTATTCTATTAGCACTATGACGATAAGGACTGCTTTAAAAAAAATTAACAAAGAAGATATGGTTGAAAGTGTTATGTGTGGAAGGCACAATCATCAAAAATCCACCGGTATTGCCATATTAAAATATATTCGTAGGCATATTGAATTAATTGCAAGAATTAAATACCTTTACTTAAGGGCAAAAACGTCTCGAGAATACATTGATGAACGTATGTCTCAGTTTAGCTCCTTTATATATGCTGTATAAAAAAAATTTGAGAAACAAAATGAACCCTACACTAAACAACTTATTTATCTAAAAGTATTTAATACCAAATACAACATTGATGTATTCAAACCAAAAAAAGATCAATGTAGTTTATGCCAGAAGTATTAAAATTGCTCTCCATAAGAAAAAAAATAACATTAGAAAAAAGAACATGCAATGCCTGAAAAACAAAATAATGTAGGGCAATCAAGCCAAAATGCAGATAAAAACATTGTTTTAGTGTATGATTTACAAGCTGTATTATCCACTCCTTTAGGAAAATCGTTAGCATTTTATTATAAAAGTAAAAAATTAAAAGTTATTATAAAAGTACTTTTAACTTTACAGCTTACATTACAAATAAAGAAACTATGTGCTATGAGTTGCATGAAACCATAGCTAACAGAGGATTAAATGAAATTAATATTTTTTTATTTAGTTACCAAAAAGACCATTGTGTGGAGAACGAAACAGCAATATTTTATTCTGCTAAATGCTATAGAAAAAAATAAAAACAAATGTGCTATGGACTTATATGCTGTTAATGTATTACCAGTTTCAACAATCTACCATAAATATATAACAGTAGGACACACCCAAAACGAGAGCGACGATGTTCACTCAACTATAGAGAAAAAAAAAAGGAATACTTAACAGTAACTCTATCTATGTTTCGTCTCAGTGGGTTCCAGTTATCGCACTGGCAAGGAAAAAGGGCATACCATATTTCATCATCTAAGCTTAGACTGACAACGTATATGATATAAATAAACTTGGTGAAACAATGGATATAGATTTGATCCATTGTTCCAATAATAAAAATTAGAGACAAAGCTAGAGTCCACAAGGAAAACAATTCCTGTAGCTGGCTGTATACCACGTATCACAAAAAAGAGGTTAGTCTTCGTAAATGGGTATATTTATTTAAAAACCCTTAAAAGGGCTACATAAAAAAAAACAAACGTTTTCGGACTAAAAAGTCCATCATCAGGTTTAAAATAAGTATAAACCATTTCACCAAATCCAAACATCAAACACCAAATAAATAACAAATAATGTAAACTAATTGTAATTAAATAATTTTTAATGAGTTTTTACCCACATATTTAGTGGCTATATTCATGTATACCTAGACGGTGATGATGGAATATGGATTCCGAAAACGTTTTGTATAACATAGTCCGTTTGGGTTTTTAAATATATACCATTTATAAAGCGTTTTTAATAAATTTTTTTAATGTATGGTATACAGTCAGCTACAGGAACGTAGATTCCCTGTGGAATTTATTTACAATTCGATACTGCTACCAACCTCAATTTTATTCCAAACCTGAATATAAGTAGGAGTGAAAGAAAACAATTTATATTAATTTCTTTTGAATTTTTTGATATATTTTCTCCATTATAAAAACGGCAAAGCTCAAAGTTAACCCGACCAAATAAATTAAGAAGACGGTTTCAAAATTTTCAAGTGATAAAGGTTTAACGTTGTCTTGATTTGTAGCTAGATTTATTGCTTTATTGTATCTTCTCTCAAATTTGCGATTCAAATACTCTCCAAATCCTCCCTCCTTTAGCTTTAGTAGTTTTTCATTAAATGTTTCTACTAGAGGATGATCTCTTCTGAAAACCAAAGTATATAATAAGCTCGAAGCGCGATCTCTCCCAAATACTAATAATAAAGATCGGCCTTGATTATCCAAAAAATAATCGGGAATAAGATACTGTAGCTGACGAAATGCGATTGTAGAGACTAGGTTTTTTTCTGTTACTGTCATGTTTAAACAATCAAGATAAAGACCACATGATTTTAGTAGATGGTTTTTATAAAGAGCCGATACAAATGGTATTGTAGAATGTTTATAGACTTGTGCAAAAGACATATCACGGATGCCGACTTTTAGTTTATATTTTAAAATATCGTCTTCGCTCTTATATAATTGATATGCAAAGCCGTCTTTTAATATAACAAAAAGCTTGGTTTTGTATGCAGTAGTAAACATTGTCGCAAATATTAAGTAGACAATAAATAATGTTCTATAAAAAAGATTGTTTGCAGAAATATGTGCTGAACCCTCCAATAATATACGCAAAAGTACAGTAATTAAAGAGACTTTTTGTTGGTGGGGTACGATTTTTGCGTTTAACCAAAAAAGGAAATACAAAAAAAACAAAAGAATTAAAAAACAGAACCACACAGACAAGGTAAATTCTTGAAATATAAGTTTTAAGTAGTGTGTATTTTCTACCCTTGGTAAAACCATTACCAAATGGTCTTCTGTTATGAAGTCACTTAGTGTATAAAAATATTTATCAGGATACATTATAGCAGTAGGCGTTGCGTATAAATCATAGCTTCGTGAGTTAAATTCCTCCACCACTCTAGTAGAGTGGCCAGGTAAATCAGTTTTGTAAAATGCAGGTTTAATGTTTAGATTTTTTGCTATTATTTTTATTATATCTATATGTATACCCTCTTCGGTACTTATAACATAAGGTGCTGACAAGGCACATAAAATTTTCATATTAGTGACAGATTTCTTTTTTAAAGAAACTTTTAGGACTTTAGTACCATAAGTTAAGCACATTTTAAGAAATTTTACGGTATACAGCTCCTCTACTGGTTTTTCTTTCGTAAGAAAATTTTGCGTTGAAATATTAACAATATTTGTAACCATTATAGCATTTTGTATGGAATAGCTTTTAAAAACTTTTATCATATTATCGTCCAGTAGCTCTGAAACAAAAATATATAAAGCTCGGGGATTAAACATGTTTGCCTCATAAATGTCATGCACATTTTTTGAGAAATTACCGGATATGATATACATATCGGGTAAAGTTAGTGTTGTTGTAAAACAATTTAGCTGTTTATCTGTGTTATAATTAATCGCTGGATATGATATCTTCAGATCAGTGTTCACTATATAGATTCGATCGTTCTTGGAAAATTTTACAGATAATATTTGATCCACGCACTTTTCCAAAACCTTGGATGGAACATCACCTAAGATAGAAGAAATGATTAACACAATTTGTACTATTGCATGTATTTTACATTCAAACATATATAACAAGTGTTTTAGTTTAGTTTTCCACGTAGTCATTCGCTTAATCAACACAATCATTACAACGATATTATAAATTACCGATATGGGCATGAATTAGAATTCCTGAAATTTAATTATATATCTATTTTCCTATTAGGAAAAAAAAATAATTTAAAATAAATAAAAGGACTGGTTAATAGGATATAAGAGAATGGAAGAATCCCGACTTCATGAAACAATCTTCTTCTTCTTAGCCTCTCGTTTATTTTTGGACAAAGGCCTATCTCAACTTGTTCCATCGATCTCTATCGTGAGCGACATTTACTTCCAATTTGTGCCAGCGACTCTTCTATGTGATCTGCTTATCTCACATGTGGTCTTTCTCTTGGTCGTCTACATTTGTAAGGTCTCCAATTTTGTATTGTGGTATTTGAACGTTGGTATTTTTGTCTATCAATGTGGGGTGAGAAACTCCATTTGAGTTTGGCAATTTTTATTGTGATATCCTTAAATTTGGTTTCTAATCTTACCAGTTGTTCCTCTTTTTATCTGACAATCATATTTCTAACATTGCTCTGTTTATTGCTCTTTCTGTTGTAGTTAGTTTATTCACAGTTGCCTTGGTTAGTATCTAGGTCCAAAATGATCACAAATATTTTAGAAGTAGGAGAAGAAATTTTGAAATGAAAAGTGGAGCAGTATTTAAAAGGCATTACTAAAGGCAGCAGAAAAAAATTTAAAGTTAAAAAAGACAAATAAAAATCAGAAGTGGATGACTTCAGAAATTATAGCATTAATAGAAGAGAGGAGAATAGCCAAAAGAAGAAATGAGGAAAAATATTAAGAACTACAAAGTAGAATTAAAGTAGAGAAAAAAAAAAAGATGATAATAGTAAACTCATTGCAGACGTCAAAAATATACTAAGATTTTGGCAAGAATACATATTGAAAGTATTCGACGATAAAAGAATAATACAAAAAGAACCACAGGAACAAATACGACCGAAAATGATAATGTGCGAATTAGAACAGACAATTAGAAATGCAAAGACCGCAAAATTAGTAGGCGCAGATCAGATACCCTTTGAGCTAAAATGCATTGACAAATAAACACTGCATATACTTTTAGATCTGTTTAATAAAGTATACACAACAGGAGTAATACCCAAAGATTGGTTGTTGTCCACGTTCGTATAACTACCAAAGTCAGTACATGCGACAGAGTGCACCCAGTACAGAAAAATTTTCTTAAAGCCACACACTTGAGATATTTCTCAAAATAATACACGGAAAGCTATACAAAAAAAAATAAAAAAAGATATAGATGGCACCCAGTTTGGATTCAGAGAAGGACTAGGAACGAGAGAGGCTCTGTTCGGTTTTACGTTCTCGCGCAAAGACGACTAAATATGAACCAGGATCTCTGCTTAATATATTATCAAAAGGATTTTGATAGAGTGCGACATCAGAAACTCGTAAAACTGTTAAAAGAAAAGAATGTGATAGTCGAGATATACGAGTTATTGTCAATCTGTACTGGAATCAAAAGGCAAAGGTTAGAATCGAAAATGTCGGAACAGAAACTATAGAAGGGTTTCTTGCTGTCCCCAATGTTATTCAATCTGTACAGCGAAGCTATTTTTAAGGAAGCAATATCAGAGGAACAAGAGAGTTTATCAATAAACGGAAAAATCTTGAACAACATAAGATTCGCAGAAGACACTGCTGTTTTTGCAGACAGTCTAGAAGCACTGCAATGGTTAGTAAATAGATTACATCAAGTCAGTATAAAATATGGACTACAAATTAACGTTAAGAAAACCAAGTTCATGATTATTTCTAAGCAACATACAAAAGGAAAGATAGATATCGAGAAAAAACAAGTAGAAAGAGTGAATAACTACAGATATCTGGGAACCTGGGTAAATGAAAACAATGACTAAGGTAGAGACCTTTCTCTGGAGCTGACGATAACAGCCTTGAGATACTACGTGTTCTCGACTTTGTTGTATGAAATAGAAAGCTGGACACTAAAAGTGAATATAAAGAAGTCGAAATCATTTGAGATGTGGTGCTATAGAATGATTTTGAAAATACCATGGACCCAACGAGTTACAAATGCAGAAGTGTTAATAAGGCTACAAAAGGATTGTGAGGTCAAAAAGCACATCAAAACAAGAAGGCTGGAATATTTAGGTCACATTACCAAAGGTACGAAATATAAGATAATAATTATATTATATTATAATATTTTTATATTTACTGTTGTTTGTAATTTATATAATTTATATTTATATATTTATATTTATATGAACCTGTGATGTAGCCATACGCCAAATAAATAAGATAATAAGGCTCATAATGCAACGTAAAATCAAGGGTGAAACATCCATAGAAAGACGAAGAATTTCCTGGTTAAGAAACCCAAGAGAGGGGTTGTAGCTCAGTAGATCTTCTCAGAACAGCCGCCAATAAGGTGCGGATAGCTGTAATGATAGCCAACCTCCGATAGTAGAAGGAACTATAAGAAAAAAAAGTGTCTAGGTTTAACATATATAGATCATGATAGGAAGGATGTACTGGTTGAACACTTTGCTCCTTAAATATTGAGGTATTTTGCGGTTTATAAGTATCCAACTGAGTTTTCAAATCCTGCTCATGCCAATCTTGTTCCTCTAGTAATTTTCGCTTTGTTACTGTTTTTATTTCTGTCATATTCATTTTAAGGCCGACGTATTGGGAGCTGTCTGCGAGTTCCTCCATCATAATTTGTAGTTCGTCAAATGTATTCACTATAATCACGATGTCGTCAGCGAATTTGAGGTGGTTTAACTTGTTGCCATTAACGTTGATGCGATATGTTGACCAATTTGTAGTTTTAAAGACGTTTTCTAGAGCTAGATTAAAAAGCTTTGGCGATATTACATCGTCTCTAATGTAATTAATAAACGTCTACAATTAAACAATACAATAATGCTCTATATACATAAAAAACACATAGATCTTAAAATTCATTTATCTATTATTACTACCGGTTTTATATTGTATCACTTGTTTTATTTTTAATAATCTGTCTTCGATCTAGTCTGTTAGTGTTTAGATTGCTAGCAGGTTAACTATTTGATCTCTAAATTTGTTTCCCTTTTTATTCTTATACAGCTTTAAATTTAAATATTTTTTTGTCATTGAGTTAAGATCATTATTTGTTCCATATGACGAGAAAATTGTCCAAATTTGACTCTGCTTTCTGTAGCTGTAGTTTTGTTTAAGGAATTTATATGCATAGTTTATAAAGGGTCTATTTTTAGAGGTATAGAAATGTAAGTTTTTTTAGGAGGTGAGAATCTTTAAAAGACTTCTAAGAAGATGTCCCAGATGTATTGGATTTGGACGACTACGCCTTACCGTAGTTGACCGCCTACCATCTAAACTCACCCCCTCTTTCTCCAACCGACGGGCCTGAAACCGCTCTTAGCGAGTATTACCATCTGACCCGTCAGATTTGCTCATAACTCTCATCTGTCGCTCTCCATCTGCTTTCTGCCGTCTGACGTGATTGCCATAGTAACCCAGTCGCGCTACTATACTCACGTCTGCACCGGTCTTGGTCTGTAAGGTAACAATCCTTGTGCAGAGCAACAGACAGGAAGGAGCGACCGCGCCGCCATTTTAACCATCTTGAACTTAACGAGAAAGATCAAAAAACAGCTACAAGCAACTCCAGACATTAAAATTCCACCCCCGGGGGTGGCACATTCATTTTCCCATCTACACTGGCCCATTACTTAGTAATAAGCTTCTCCAAAAGGAGAGTAAGGAGACACATACTGTATACTAGATATAAGTAGAGACAAAACAAAACAATACGTATGTAAATTGTGTAAATTCATTTAAGATTTCGGCATTTCGGACCCTTTTATTGGCCAGGATATGCACCGGTACAGCACCGGCCACTACTTGTAAGACAATGGTTGATACGGTCCTGTACCCGCTGCATACCCTGATTAATGGTTTCCTCTGTGTCCTAAGAAGCATGTCTTTATATTTTACTGAGAATCTCATGCCACACTGGGGCCCCATAAAGTAAGATGGTCATGAGTGACTGTAGTATAACTGATCTTTTGTGTGACCCGGGGCCTCCTATATTCGGCATTATCTTATTAAGGGTCGAGGTTTGCTCTTCCGGTTTCTGACATGCTTCTTGTATGTGGTGTCTGAATGCCATTTTGTCATCTAGTATGATTCACAAGTATTTTACGGTCTTCTGGGGTCTTAGGTCGGAGCCTCTAAACCGAAAATTTACGTTTTTTCTATCCCGTGGTCCCCTCAAGATGATTACCTTTGTCTTTTCTACTGCAATTTTTAGGTAATTTTTCTCTATCCATCTCGCAGTTTTTTCTATTGTTTCATTTACTTTGTTTATAATACCCCAATTCATATCTTCTATAAGTAGGGCTAGGTGGTCTGTGTATGCAAAAGCCCTTACTCCTTGTGTTTTGTTTACTTTTAGTACCCCGTTGTATAAAATATTCCATAGTGTGGGTCCCAGGACTGACCCTTGGGGTACTCCAGTAGTCATTTTCATCTTATTTTTCTTCGATATACATACGCTTCTTTGTGATGTGATCCTTTATTATATTGGACACATAATCCGGGGTCCCCAGTTCGACAATCTTGTCTACGATGAGACCCCAGTTCGCTAAATTGAAGGCGTTTTAAATGTTCAATAAAACAAATACCACCCATTTCTTTTTGCTTGTTTTTACCGAGTTTTTTATCCAGATCGCAATGTCGACCTTTTCTGAATCCATATTGTTGGTTGGATAGAGGTCTCTTATCTACCAACACGCCTTCTAGCCTCTTCCTGGCAAGATTCTCATAGAACTTGCCAAGTCAGTCCAGAAGGCATCTTGGCCTATAAGAGGATGATAAATCGATGGTTTCCCGATAGCATAGA